TTTGAAACCAGCAATATTTTATTTTAAGCTGGTTTCATTAAACTGCTTCCAACTTGTTTTTGCCTTCTTATATTGTTTTTAAATCAGTCATAGTGGTCTGGGTTGTATGTGATTCACCAGTAAACAGGCAAAACAAAACAAGAAAGGTTTAAATCAGTTCAAGAAAGTCTTATCTGCAAAGATGCACAGACTTAAGCAAATCAATATAGATTCACATGTTGATATGACCTTGTGTGTAAGCATAAAATACACTTTGCTATGTACTTGAAATCACCAACAGAAGGCTGATTTTTTTTCAGTTACTGCAAATTCTGCTAAAAAAATTTCAAAAAATTGTTTGCAAAGATGACAGTATGCGTAGACTTTGTAAGAGCAATGCAAGTAGAGTTAAAGTTGAACTACAACATTTGGGTCTGACAAAACAGTCCAAGTTGACCTTGCTTATGAGACAACAAAAAGTGTCTTAAGGAGAAATAATAATTATCAAAGAGTAAAGAATGGTTTTATTCAAAGGCAATTTAACCTCAGAGAGGTCTGGCAAACATTAATAGAACGTACTCTAATTCTGTTTGTAGATTGCCTCAACAAGGGATACTTTTAAAATGTATTTTTAAAATGTGTTTTAAAATGTATTTTGATGTCATATCTTAGGATATTTACCAGCAAAAAGACAATGGAAGAAGCATGCATCTCTTCTCAATGTTACATTGTTTCTTTATAAATAGCTATGTAAAGACACGTTATCAAATCTTTGTAAGTATTAAAATATGGACTAAAGAAAATTGAACTGCGTAATGACTTAGTGCTTTTCTTTGCACAGTGCTCCATATTCAGCTCAGCATGCCTGAGCTAGGAAGTTGTTTTACCCAAGGAAAAGTTCTGAAAGACCAACCTAATGCAACTCCATACCTGCGACACTGCAGCTTCAGATAGCAGCTTCTGGTCCTTGGTCCCACGGTAAGTGAATTTGACCTGCTTGATGGGTCAGATCCTGCCCAGCAAGGTCTGTCTTTAAGTGAGAGTTCTATGTTATGTAGCCTTTGCCTAGAAACACGGGGATGAATTTTGCTTCCTCCATTTATAGTTTTCCATTAACGGTGACATAATAGCAAATTGAGCATATTATTATCTTAAAATTAAGCTTTATTAGTTAGCTGCATCTGTTACTTTGTGCGTATTCAACTCCAACTGCTGTCATTAAGCCGGAAGGGTCTTGCATATTATCTGCACAGAAAGAGCAGTTGTGAACATTTGGATTCAAGTAGAATTCCCAGCTAAAATGATGATGGTTTAGAAGTAAAGAGGCTTTTTCTACTTTTTGTTCAGTTAAACATTGTAGTTTGAAGATTTCAACGTGGCAAGCTGCTTTCTTAAGTTTTGATGAAGTCTTCTACGTGTTGTATCTGTGTTTTGAAGGTCTATTGGATGTGCTTTTGCGGTTGATTGTGTTTTTTCCAACAGTAGATGGCAATATCCATTCATTTGTAAAACATAACAGTAAAATTCAATCCATTACAAAATCTAATGTGTAAGTAGAGTCATATTCAGGGATTTTAAATGAAATTATTTGTAAAAATCTTG